ACTATTTTTTTAATGTTTTTGATTTACAGATTAAAATTTCTTTTACTTTTTTTGCTTCGTGCAGGAACAGAGTTTGAGGGTGCTGTGATTGCATTATTTCATCTTCTGGCTACACGAACCGACAAAGTCCGGGCTTTGCGGGAAGCTTTTTACCGACAGAATTTGCCCAATCTCATGAATCTGATTGCTACAGTATTTGTATTTGCTGTAGTCATATATTTTCAGGTAAAATGAGAAATTCCTCATAGTAGACGCTGCAGTCATTGGGGAAAAATGCAAAAGTTAAACTAGAGCAACTGAAGTATCTTAGCTTTGAGTAAGGAACTCTCTTTATTTCAATATTATTATTTCAGTAACATACCTCTGTGACAGTACAGCTGTTGAATTTTATAGCCAGACGTACTTGTACGCAGGCAGTGAGGTAATCTCACATTCCATTAAATGCCATACACGCTATGAGGTATTTTTACTAAAAATGGATTCTGGATCTGCAGTGGTTGTATCACACGAATAATATACTTGATATTCATAGTTGACTTAAAAGAATACCTTTGGACAGAACTAAAGAACCTTGCTGCTTTGGGGTGTGCATGGTACGGATCCGTCCTAGAACACAACCGTGTAATTAATGCATGGCTTTCTGTTTTTCCTTAATTTTCTTGAAATACTTAGCTAGTATTTCTTTTTAAATTTAAGTATTTACTAAAATGGACACAGAAGGAGGTCCATGTGGTGATTTTTTTCTTCCTTTTTTGTGTGTGTGTGTGGCTAAAAAGTGATTTTTTTTTTTTCCTTAATTTTTTTTTTTAAGCTGTTGAGTCAGAGTGCTGGCAAAAAAGTGAGTTATCTGGTTTTCAAATCCATGTGGCTTTTCTTGGGTCTGCTCAGATAGGAGCCTGCCCCAGAAAACAGAAGGCTATTACACGGAAGTCTGCTGTTAACTGGCTCGTTAAGTTAAAAGCCATTGAAGGCTTTTATCAAACCTTATTCTATAAAATGTATTTTAGAGGCGCATCATTTAGCAGATGAGAGAGAATGTTTATGTAAAAAGAATGTAATACAACCAAGCAGTAACACTTAGAAATCCTTAAAATTTGTAATCCAGACTGTAGCAGAAAGCCTTTGGGTTTTACTGTCTGAGACCTTGCACTCCTTGTTTATCTAGCGAGAACCCTAAGGTCAGGAATGGCTTTTAGGCATGCTAGGAACACCTTCCGTCTTGGAAATAAACTGGGTGCATTTGTGTTCTTTCCCGTAGGGATTTCGTGTTGATTTACCTATCAAGTCTGCACGATACCGTGGACAGTACAGTAGCTATCCGATCAAGCTCTTTTATACCTCCAACATTCCCATCATTCTGCAGTCTGCCTTAGTTTCGAACCTCTATGTTATTTCCCAGATGTTGTCTGTCCGTTTTAGTGGCAACTTCTTGGTGAACTTATTAGGACAGTGGGCAGTAAGTATTTTAGCACTTTTTTAACTGCATAAAATTATATGTATATATTACTTCGTTGTGAAACTGGTATTTAACCAGCAGAAAACTGGAAGACTTACTTTTTAACATTTGTATACAAAAGCCGTTTCAAACGTTGAAGAGGAATTCCTCTATCAATACAGGATAGGAATGTAAGATCTGCGAGAAATAACTAATTGCCTTTTTCTTCCCCTCTCACAGGATGTCAGTGGCGGTGGCCCTGCTCGCTCTTATCCTGTTGGTGGCCTGTGCTACTACTTGTCCCCTCCAGAATCCATGGGTGCAATATTTGAGGATCCTGTCCATGTCATAGTTTATATAATATTTATGTTGGGATCCTGTGCGTTCTTCTCAAAGACTTGGATTGAGGTGTCTGGGTCATCAGCAAAAGATGTAGGTGTTCTGATAAACGTGCCTCAATGTTTTCAAACACTGCCTCTAATTTAGAACTTGACTGGGCTACTAACAACTGATCAGTTATTACTCTGACTAAGTATCAGGTGACTACGAAACGCCGCAGCAGTTTCATAAAATTATGGTTTTTGCAGGTTGCCAAGCAACTCAAAGAACAGCAGATGGTGATGAGAGGCCACAGGGATACTTCAATGGTTCATGAGCTTAACAGGTAAGGAAAGGCTGACGTCCAACGGTGCCGCTGTGCCGGGCGGTTAAGAGTGCTGGGGAGGTGTCGACCGGAGCAGATACTCTCGGAAAAATCTGAGACCTGTTTCCACTGCAAATGTCAAGGTTGTTCCCATTCAGCTGTCGCCTTTCATAGTAACGTCAAAGATGTTTACAGCAGTAGTTAAGAGATTAACCCGTAGTCTCTTTTGTTGAAGTGGCATAATGAGGGGATTTGGGTTGAATCTCTTCCATGTTTGTAAAAGGAAGATCCCTTGATTTTTACAGGTGTTCAATTTACCATTACCAAACTAAGATGACACCACAAAAGTGGTATTTTATGCAGTATTGCAAAGCCTGCAGATCTACATTGAAAGGTAGATTTATCCCTACGCATTTCAGTCAAAGCAGTTAATTCTTGGTCCCATGGAGGTTACCTAGCACGCCCATATATAAAATTGTTGTACTTTTAATTGAAAAACTTTGCCAGCATTCAATTATTCACGCAGCTTTCCTATCAGTGAGTATTTATTTTAGTTTCTACGTTGCGCAAACACGGAAGATCGTAAGAGCCAATGGCAGAGTTGCATTTGCGATGCTAAATTTGTTGCTCGATGTTCTAGTTGGTTGTTTTAGTAGTAGATGTATTGTTAGAATCTTTGGATGAAAATCCATGATGACGAATACTTTTTTCTTTCCTTTTTTTTCGTTGGCACAGGTATATCCCTACGGCAGCTGCATTTGGTGGTTTGTGCATTGGTGCCCTTTCAGTATTGGCTGACTTTCTAGGAGCCATTGGGTCCGGCACTGGCATTCTGCTTGCAGTCACTATTATTTATCAGTATTTTGAAATATTTGTAAAAGAACAGGCTGAAGTTGGAGGAGTAGGTGCATTATTTTTCTAGATGTCCAAATATTTCATGGTTTGTGTGAAAGGGAAAGTATTTTGACAACATGCGTCATTTAGTCCAATAATGCTATTTTCTTTTTACTCGTTTTAAAGTGCGACCTGTCCCATTACTGTAATGGGCATTGAGCAATGCCTGTGTGCAGCATTAGTACCAGCTGCCTTAAGAATAAAGTTTACATTATCTTGTTTAAGTATTATCTAGTGTTGCCTGTAATGCTGGAAACCAATTCATCTACCTTGCTGTTCAAACACTACAGTGAGATGGTAAAATTTATCAGTTTGATACCGGTAAACATTTTTGCACACAGCATTAAAATGTTAACTTCATTTCCATGTCCTTAACAGGAAAAAATAAAATAAAATCTGAGTTCGGATTGCCACGTGCCAGTATTCGTGACAAAATTTATTTGTAGCCCATATTTTACATCAGGTTTTTTTTATACTTTTTTAACTTGCATTTCCCCATCATGGAACTCGGCACTCCTTATTCCTTTGCGGTGTCTCCACCCAGGCACCCTTCTCTTAGCTCTAAGGTTGGACGAGCAAACATTTTACCGGAGACTGATACTCATCTCACCTGTGAGCTGGTTCTGCGGTGGGTTTGCTGCATCGCCCGGCCTGGGGCACTGCGGTTTCTTGCCCTGGGCCTCCTGTGAGGCAGCAATGGTTAGCTGCTGTCATGCTAGCGAGTCAGCACAGTAGTTTTCCTTAAGCACATACTCGTGAAAACTGTGCCACTGAAACTTCACGTCCACTTTGCTTTTGTGAGTCTGAAGAACAAGGCCTGGTTCCTGAGGCGGCGTTCTGAGAAGGGAAAGGGGGGGAACG